GTACTTTCCATCCGGACTCCGAGCCGTTGGCTTTATTTTGGTCGCTTTCAGGCTTCTGTGAATCTGAGGGATACGAATGGCATGTCAGAGGAGCGCTAATAGTTCTGCAGGTAGAAGTGAGCGAAAAGCTCTCGTAGTTACTTCTACTATGCACTGAGCTAACCAGCTATTTTGTGTAATTGCGTCCAATCAACGTTTTTGTCGTCTAATTCGTGTTTTCGTCCCGACACAACACTTACCTTAATAGGTGGCTAACGGAACCATCGTCACACACCGTCTCTAAATAGTCGCACAATATTCCCAAGAGTGTTTCGATGAGCATAGAGAGGGGAGAACTCACAGCTCCATTAGTTCTCATTAAATTATTTATACCCAACGATATATCCCTCAAATGGAGATTTCGGGTACGGCAGTTGAAGAGGGTATTCCAGTCACACATGCCTCTCGAGCTCGTGAAATGTTGATGCTCAGCTATTATTCCATCCATTGCTCAGGGCAGAAGTACGTTATGGATCGCCTACGCAGATCCAAATGGTGGCTATACTGCTAAAGGAGGGGGTGCCAGTATTAGCCTGATGGGCTTTGCATTATCAATGAAGGCTGCAGATATTTGAGGAAGAGTGCAGTGCACTTTTATGTATTTGGTACGCCTTCGAACCTCTTAGCCGGCCAAATTTCCCGAAGGGCTCTTTTATGTGGCCTTATATTCATCTGTTCTCGATCTGAAAGTCAGCCCAAGAACACTGTTACGAAGAGTAGACCTCAACGAGGACCGGAACGTGGACCTCACGCTGACCCTGTCGATGTTGCCTAACTTACGATTTTGCCTAACTTACTGTGCCTGAACCTATCTACAATTTCGAATAGTTCTTTTTACGGTCTTTGCAGTTGCACTGCAAGGGAAGAATACCATATTACTTGAGGTGCTTTGGATCCGGAACAAATCTCTTCTCATCAGTCATGTACTTTAGATAAGAAGGGACTAAACTAAAACTGACTGAGGGAACAAAAGTAGGCACTTAGAAGTTCGTCTTGGTTTTACAATTCCATGCGGAGAGACAGGCGGAGGTGGTGTAGTGGCAAGTGGCACACCTACCACGCGTGCTATCCAGGGTCAACTCCTGTATCGTCTACCTTTTGCAATTCCATGCAGGTGGCGGTGGCGTATTGGCAAGTGGCACGCTTACTACGCGCGCGGTCCGGATCCCGGAGCGCGAGAGATAGGTGCAGCTGTAAATGAATGAGCTCGCAGTTGATGATGAGGTAGAAGGGAGGGAATGCACGTCCATCCTAGCTTACTCTTGCTTGGAGAGCGCTACTAAGCCTTCCATGTCAGTTGGCTGGACCTTGCATCATAAGGGAAAAGAACTAATGGAAGAAACACTGAAGGAGCACACCAGGATGCGAATTGCCATAGGTTTCTGCTAATTTAGCAGTAAGGACAGCAAAAATCTTTAGCTCCGTTAATAAGTTCAGCGCGTCACACAGTCATTACACTGAAAACGAAAAAGGGGGCGGGGGCGGAATGAAGGCAACGGCTGCCCCGAGTGGACAGCGCACAAGTCTCCCAATCAGGTCATCCAGCTACATGAGGTTTTGCTGTTGTAACGCGATCATTAGGGTGATGACAGCGCCCACTTTATGAAGGGGAAACCTGTAGAGGATTTTACAGTGGTTTCCTCATTTCGACGGTGCGGCATATCCTTTTGAAAGTCTTGTTTTGTGGGAAAGACTTACAAGTTGTACATTTAAGCACAAGAGTGGCCGATTAAACGCTGTGCTTGGAATTTATTTGTTGAAACGGTACTGAAGGACCAAAGTTACTCTGGACCTCTAGACATGATTAAGGTCCCCTAAGGATGGGATTCAGCCTTCGCGGGTTGATAGTGCCCTGATCACTTCCCTTTTCCACCAGCCGCTGCGAGCCCAGGATGGCAACAATAACTTAAAAAGGCAGCCTTGGCTGCGCTCCCATTCCACTTCCCCTCATACTTCCTCTCGTTTGCAGCATAATGACTATAGTTAATGGGAAAATGTAGCAGTAAATTGAGTTGCATTGTTTTTATCGAAGTGCCGTTATAAGGTGCACATTGTCCCCAACAAAAACAGACTAAGATCCCTCGTTGCTGTGTGAATATCCGGATTATTCATATAATATATTATTATTGCCAACAAGGATCCGCGGTATCAGAGAAATGGTCTTAGTGGCCACTGGCTTCTGACGTCTCGGAGCGTGCTTCAGGCTCGAGGCTTGACGGGGTCACGGGCGTCATTCCGAATGCCTTCCGAAGCTTCCTCCTGATGCCTTCCCGTCCCTGCCCCTCCATCGATGTTCGCCGGACGTTCCTGAACAGCTCATGTCACCCTCGATCCTTTAGCGTGATTCATCCTAATCGCGTTGATCCCTGCCAGAGCCTGTTACAACAGAACCTTTTTTGTTCTCACAAAAAAAACCTTCGAGCAATCCCCGATGACAAGTGGAATTCAATTCGTTGCTTGACGGAAACAGTAGAAACAGCTGTTTGATGAGATTTATATTTTCTCTTCATCGGACCTTGCTCCCTGGACCATTTAGAAGAGTGTGACCGATAGTAATCCCAAGCACTGAATTCAGCATTGGATCATCTCACCAAAACTACTTACTCGTAAGTGTTCATGTGCCCTTGATTTCATAGTGAAAGTTTCGCTTCAGCTGTGAGTTGCCGGCTACTTTCAAGTCCCGATACCTGAGTGAGGTCAATTTAGATTACAGAAGTCTCAAGCACGACCGATGAAGTATTAGCTGAAGCCTTCTACGAATCGTTGAAGCTGCGTTCGTGCTCCTGACAGTCAAGATCTCCTCGTTTGTAGTAAAGAAATGAGTATTGACCTGCAGGCCCACAATGAATTCATCACTTTTACATCCTTTTTCCGCGGAAGAAAGTATGAAAGAGAATCAGAAATGATCAGGAGTGTGGAATCTGTCTCAGTGCGTCTACGTTACGATTGCGAAGTCCGACGATTTTTTCTATAGAAGTCTTCTTTTTCTCCCCAGCGTTAATCCCGCGCCGTGGAGGGATTAACGTCAGCGAGAGAAATGGGACGCTCTGCTTCACATGGTCAATTGGTCCATTCAATCTGTCTTCTACTGTGACTTTTGGCGATTTCTCCCGTTTCATGTGCCTCAACCCCACTTGGCTGGAGGCGCAGTCAAAGTTCTTTACTGCTACTATTTTCCACTCTTCCCCCCCCCCACCGCTGACAGTTCTTGGGGAAAAATGTGAAAATTTTTAGAAAACTCTGGAAAAAGGGTAAGAATCTGGGAAAGCTCAGGA